ACACACACACACACACACACACACACACACACACACACACACATACACACCCACCCTACCCCCTCCTTATCTGTCACTCAGCAACATGCATTCTTTTCTTCCTGTATCTTTGCTGATTTTGGCAGCCACCTGTCTGCCTCTTCATCTGCGGCGTGGCATTGGTCACACTCCAGCTCCTCTTCCTCTTCCTCATCCTCATCCCGGCAGCCCGGCGCTCCGTGCTGGCGAGCTGACCGAACGGTGTCCTTGAAAAGAGGTCAGGTGGGTTTCCCCTCCAGTCTGAGGGGTTTCTCTCTCCTCGAGTTGAGGCCGGTGCATTTCGGATGGGAGCGAGTGTTATTTCTGAACGCGTAGCGCTCAAGGACACGTGCGGTTTTGCGAATGTGTGTGCAGTGTGTGTGTCTACATGCGGAGGAGCGACCACACATGTTCCTTCCTGCCGGTGATTGCCCTTGACACGCACACACGGGAGGATGGGCACTCACCTGACCGACTGCATTTCTGTGCAGCGAGGAGATCTGCATGTGTGTGTGTCTGTGTGTGTGTGTGCATATTTTTGGCATCATCCTTCCTCAGGATATACATTCAACGCCGCCATGAATCCACTAAGCAAACTGACACCGGGAGCTCTCGACGCACACGTCCAAGAAACAAAGAAAACAGACTTGAAACTGTATATCTGGATCCGCGCACCTAAATCAGCATGACAAGTGTGACAAGCGCGCATCAAAGTTTTTGGGCCAAGATGGCTACAGTTGACCTCAATCGCTCCACATGTGTGTGGGTGGGATGGGGGATGGGGGAGGGGGGGCGAACACCTGAGTATCTACAGCAAGTGGAGCAGTTGGCTGGTGTGTACGGCCTGGCTGTTCTCATGAATTGCAGTGGCCATGGAAATGGGGAAACTGGGAAACAGACCGATAGGGATATGGATCTTCATCCTCCACGTAATGACCGGTTCATCCGGCTGTCGGTGGAGAGCGGCGCTAATTGCTGGCCGCAGAAAAAAGCCGGAGCTGGAAACAGAGACCTACCTGAGCGTTTTGGTGGTCATGTCGGCTCCCGTGATGCCATGGTAGATCAGCGTTTCATTCCACACCGGATTCAGAGTGTTCTTCAGGGTTTTTGTACGTAGCTTGTTTGCCTGCAGAATACGAGAATTAGAATGAAATATCATAAACGTGCCGCAGAAGGTAAACTAGCTATATATAAAAAGGGAGACAAGGGGTAAGAGAGAGAGTATGGGTATGGGGAGTGTCATTTATCAGTGTCCCAAAGGAAATGTCTGACATCCGCTGCCAGGAAGCGGGAGGACACGAGGCTTGCCGCGCCTCACCTGTTCCTCTGCCTCCTCCTCAGCATCAGAACCAGGTGCTACGGCATCGGCCTGAGCTCGGAAACAAGCGCTGGCTTTTAAAACCGACACCGCTTGTCAGCAAAGAAAACTCTGCTACACAATCAGAGCTAAAAATGTGCTGGAACCTCTGGAAACCGAAACTGTCTCTGACCGTGTAGGTTTTTAAATTAAGCCTTAAGATACACTGTCATGGAATAATGGGATACTTCACATAAGGGTTTGGCTCAGACACATATTTTTTAGCGCAAAATTCTGTAGCATTTACAGCCATTGTGAGTAAGTGGCGGGAAGTAGTGGACTCTTTATGGTTTTTCTTCTGCTTTAGTGATTATTATTGATAAGTGCCAAGTAGGTATCAAATCGCTTCTGCCACCCATCCATTATATCATTTATTGATAAAGAAAGAAGAAAAAAACTTGGAGCACTTTAAAAAACGATCTGTTAACAAAAAGAATTCACCTTGTCATGATCTATGAATGTGTCACTGCAAAGGCAAGAAACACCAAGTAATATAGTTGGTCATTGGACTTAACTGAAGGATCCTTTGTTTCCAATGTAACTATGCACATTTCTACTGTGTACTAACAATTCAGCCAGTGAAGAAAACCATACCCTGCTGTCTAAATATGACGGCTGCTCATGTTTGAAGCTGCAAAGCCAAGCACCCCGGCTGCTTTGCTGACAGCCAGTCTCTCTTAAGTGCCTGAGGGCCAGATGCTGAACCTGCCCTGCCATCTTTTTTTTTCTTTCTTGGCCTGTTTCTGTCCCCGTATCCCATTGTTCTGTGAGTGTCGTGTTTTCTCTTCTACCTTCCTCTTCGATCACCGTCCCTCTCTCTCTATTCTCCTTCATTCCGCTGGAAACTTCTTTCTTACCAATTAGAGCCAGCCCCGCAGAGCTCAGTCCATCAAAAGAACAAATTTGTCAGATTGATTTTCGCAAAGTGGGAGCCGGGCACATCCTGACTCGAAGCAGTGCAGCAAACTCAACACCCACCTCCCTGCTCAAAAAAAGGTTCCTTATTCCTTTTTAACAGAGTTTGGTTGGTTTTCCTGAGCACATCTTACCAGATGCTCTATGCCCTCTGTCACTTTCTGCCCTCCCTGAACAAGGGGGGGGTTGCATCTGTTTCTAAATGTTTTATCTAAAACCCTCCATCTGTCCACACTCTTCCTCTTTTCTTTCCATCTGTCTGCTGATTTTTTCCCCTTATCTCACACTCCCTCCTTCCCAGATCTGTGATGAACAGAAACCGCCTGCAAGCGAAAATTATCCACGCATCTCAGCTTGGAATGGATACATGGAAATACCAGTGACCATCGGGGGGCTCTGAAAAACTACTGTGTCATCGCATGCATATGTGTGAGAAGAAGAGGAGAGGGCTGTGATGGAGAAGGAGGAAGGGGAGGGAGCGGGGAGCCACTCTGCGTGGCCGTGACTAAATCCTTAGCATGTGTCTGCACACACACAAGGTCACGCGCTGCATGTGTTTGCCGTGTGTGTCGTACATCACAAGACGGGACGCTTGACCGTATCCCAATTTAAAAAAAAAAGAGCTGGAGCTGGACGACGACGGGAGGCGTGAGGTTTCTTGAGAGCTTTTGTCTGCTGGATTAGTCACTGGGAAAACGTGCCCACCGGCTGGACCAGGGAGGATGTGAGTGCGCGCCCGTCATCCTCACTTCAGCGAAAGCTCCCACTTTCCGAAGTGACGTGGCCCCCCCCCCCGACAGGTGGCTATTTAGCAAACAGTGGTTCACAGGCACTTACCTACTCATTGATGCTTTTCTCTGTGCTCCCCCTAACCACCGGCAGCACTTTAACCGCCCCTCTCTCCCGATCAACACTCGCCTGTTGACGTGAGCCGTGTAACAATCCTCCTTGTTTCCATGACAACCACCTGCTGCTGTCCTCCCCTCATCTGTCTCCCTCTCCCTCTCTCCCCTCCCTCTCTATTTTCTAACCCCCCCCCCCTTTTCTCCCTCAACACTGTTGGTATTTCAAGGTCAAAGAGGGGCACAGGCAGATAAAGTGATAGAGACAGAGATCTGGGTGAAAGTGGGGAAAGGATACTGATAACAATGGGATACAGGATGGACAGACTAAGGCTGGAGGTCAAAAATGCTCCTGCCCCCCCCAGATTTCGGACATGCCCCTCGTTCGACCTAACTGGACACTCTGTGTCCTCCCCTCACAACTCCTATAACCCCATTTCAAATCAGCCCCGAACAGAAATGGCCGACAACAGGTTGTATTCAGTTAAAGCTGTGTGTATGCGCGCTCGTTCTGCTGTTGTGGCGAGCCTTATCTTCCCCGCTGCAAACGAGACAAGAGTGGTGCAGCCAACCAGAACATGTTTGTGCTCGATAAACCGAAGGACTGGACGAGCCCACGTTGAACGGTGGCCAAGAGAAATGCTCAGTGATTTGGAAAGACAATAAATAAGTCCAGTGGCTTGTTTTGCAAGAGAGTCATGACCTCTTTGTATAGTCAGGTAAATTAGAAAGCGCAGAGGGAATTTTTATTGTCAAAAGCCAAACGACTGCATGTAGTTCCCGCTGGATTTATCATTCATCAACTTTTTTCACCAACTGCCGTTTGATGTATGAGTCTAATTACAAGCGAGTCTAAGAAAGTTACCAATTAATTGCAGAACCGAGACGATTTGAGATAATTGATTTTGTTTGGCCAGTTTAAAACAACTTGTAGACAGAAAAATGTCCACTTGTGATTTTTAATTATCATTAGCTTGTAGCCCATACTTTCCTTTAGGACCTTTAGGACCCGAAATAGATATTTTTCCATATTAATTTCCAGTAAATGTCTAATTTTTGCAAAAATGTAAATCTTTAGGTTGCTTCGACAATTGTAATATACATAAAGAACAGAAAAGAACAATTATCTGTATAATTGTGACGATGGTAGTTGTGGGTGTCGGTGTGTGTGGGGAGGCCCGGTGTGGGAGCATGTTACATTAATTGCTGTTGAGATGAGGTTGAAGCAGTGACCTTGCTAGCCCCGGGAAGAAGATGAAGCTTGACGTACGGATCGGCCAGCCCATTGGAGTCCATGGCTTTCAGACCCTGTGGACACCAGCAGAAAGACGCATACACACCGTGGTGTCAAAGGTGACGTCATCGTGCCCTCAAACCACTTCAAACCACTGACAGGGTCAGGAAAAGACAAGAAGTCTGACAGTCCATTCCTACTTGTAGTCATTTCTCAGTATGCCTTCTGGCTCTTTCTTCCAATGTCTGTGATTTTCTATCTTCTCCTTTCTGCTGTCCTCGAAGGACCTCTTTACCAAGATTTACATAATTAACATAAGTGAAGTCAGTATGGAGTGGAAGGCTTCTGTCCTTGCTAAATCCGAAAAGTGCTTGAGCAACTGAGAAACTTTATTAGGACAACTGACGTGGTGTGAGCAGATTCCTTTTCAAAAAAACCATTGTGAGACAGTGCTCTGACGTAGTGTGAAAATGCAACAGAGCCGTTTTTCCGTTAACTTTCAAGGATGGTTATGCAACGAAGGCTGTTCATATTGAAAGAGACTATTGAGAATTGTGTGTACCTTTGCCTTGTGAATGGTGCAATGAAGACAGTTGTTCTCTTGATCAAAGAGCAGGGTGAACTCCAGCGTTCCCAGGTAGGCTAAAGAAAGAAAAAAAAAGAAGCAACACAAACCCACCAATTACTGCCAATAAAGAGTCACAGGCACATCCAGTCAAACATAGGCTCAAAAGCCCTGAGTCATGTTTGCAGCAGATGGCCTCTTAAAAACATGATGCTGCCCCATATGAATTGATCTGTCTCGTTTGATTACTGTTTTGGAATGAGCAGAAACTAGAGCCCCACCATTGCAACGTTGTGTAATAAATCATCCGAGCTGCCCTGTCACATAAAGCCGGAGTGACAAACATTGTTGGAGAATTGCTCGACTCCACAATTACTCCACAAGCATGTTTTTTCAGCTTTTGAGGAGGCAAGCAGAAACTGAGCGGATGTGAAAACACTCCTCTGCACAACTGCTGAATTAGCACTGTTTTCTCGCGCTGCTTTGCTTAATATTTCTCAATTCAATGGACACGCGAAAACTTTTAATATAGACACGATTTCCACCACACAAAACCTCTCGCTCAGAACTCACTGTCTTCATCATCAGAGTCAAGCACCTCCTCCCCGTCTCCATCGTTCTCCCCTCTTCTCTCCCCATCCTTGTATCCTCCGCCCGTCTCCCCATTGAAAGTCTCCTCCTTCAAGATCTTCTTCTCCCTAGGGGGCGGTGGCGTGCAGGGGTAGTCGTGGAAACGTGGGAAAAAGTCTGAAATTTGTGGGATGGGGAGAATGGGCCCGGGGCACACATTAATGGCAAAATGCTCCTGCATAGAGATCTTGACGGGGGATGGGGGCGGTGGGGCGGTGGAGTGGGGCGTTGCCGAAGGGGAGGTGGCGGATGAGGAAGGGGTGGATGTGGAGGAAGGAGGGATGGTCAGGTGGGAAGTGGAGGGTGGTGGTGGAGGCTTGGAGACACTCATCTGGACTGTCAAACAGGGCTGGCAGGTGAGACAGAGGAGATGAAGAAGAAAATGGGGTGAGAAAGACAAAGAGAATTAAAAAGAAAACCCATCACAGTCACAGCTTAAAGTACTTGTGAGCATGCAGCGTTCCATCAGTTCATTTCCGGGCATTGTGTCGAGCGAAACAAGACAGGTGAGGAACAGGCTTCTGTTTTCACGCACTGATTCAGTCCTGACTTGACTCAAAAGCCAAAATAGAATTCGCCAGAACCTTTGGCACTTCAAGTGTGACTCACGCAATGTGTCAGCACCCCAAGTCTGTGCTCAGAGTGAATATTTAAATGTGGAGCTGGAAAGTCTGAACAAGTGATGTCACTTGTGTTTCTGCACTTGGCGCTAATCTCTCTGCTAAAGCTCACTTTCACTCGTCTCCCCCTTCCTCATCTGCGAACCCCCAAAGCCACATTTCTATAAATTCCACTCCTTTGCAGTCCTTTAAATATTTGCCACTAAACGAAGGAAGATAACTGCTGCCAAACTCCATCCTTTTTGAATGATCCCGTTTTTCTTGCAGCGGTTGCAAAACAGTGAAGACGTTTCCTTTTATTTGCAACAGAGCAGCTTAGGATTTCAAGAGCTTATTTGATTTTATTCGTGACGAGAAAAAGAAAAGACAAAACACTTTAAACGCAAGCAGTTTTTATTTGTGGGAGGGGGGTGGGGGGTGCTGTCCCAGATTATATTGTTGCAGATAAAAATAGTATCATTCTAAAAATCTCATCACATTAAATAATCAGGCAGCAGCCCAATACAGTTTTCAAGCCCAAATCATGAATAGGCAGTAATCATTGCTAACACTGTTGCAAAAGCGAGTAATTGGGTTGAATTGAATTGTTTTGCTCCTGCCCATCACCACTCCGGTGAATAGTTCTCAACTGCCAACCTGTTGTTCTTAATGCTGGCAAAGGTCTCATTTGGCGTGTTGCCATGGTTTTCGATAGTACACTTTTTAACTGACGCACATTGGGTGGACACAGATCATTAAGCTCTTTGGAACTGTGATTCGCCTCCCATATTTGGAAAATGCTGGTGGAAAAATGATTATTGTACTGCCATATAGGTCTGATTCCTGTCAAGGATGACATCTTCATGTTCATCAGCTTGGTACAAATATGATCACATAAATCAAGCCACAATTAAAGTATATCAAAAAGACAAGAAGTCGCCCCCTTTGCTCTCAGTGGAACAGTCTAACGGGTCGTGTCCAGGGGGTGATGACATAACTGTAGTGAAAAAGTTCATTATTTTACATTGCTCTTCGTTACAAGTACAACAGCAGTCATTTGTGTAACGTCATCTCTGAATGACATTTGAATAAAACCTACCAAGACTTTTCATTCCCATTAAAAAAATATAATAGAACGAGATACCAGCCCCACCTCAACCTTAAAGTCCTGTTGTTGAGCCACACAGCAATCTCGCCTCCAAATGCAGAGCGTGTCCATGAGTGCAAAGCCTCCAATGGACTTAACATAACCAAAGAGCTTAAGGTGCAGAAATATTCCTTTCAGCTTATCATGAGTCACAAACCACAATCTCTGGTGGGCCAGCCAGCATAAGAAGAGTTCACGCTCCTCATCTTAATTTGCTTGTTTTATCTGGTTAACCATCTATTATCCAAAGATGATTCATTTACAGATAATCATGACCATACTGAGAGGGGGAAAGGAAAACATTTTCACACCTGAGAGGCGGGAAATGGAGAGTAATTGGTATTTTTGTGAAAAAGAAGACTAGTAGATTGTTGTTTTTAATTCAGTTTGCGGATAGATTTTTGATTTGTTTCACCTCTGTCTAAGTTCGGGCTCGCCACTGTCATAGCTGACAAACGGTGAGAAGCCTTGGTGATGTAACTTATAGAATAAGTCATTTTTCTTTCACGATGCTCTGAAAGTCGTGCACAAATTTACCAAAGCGCAAACGCAGGCAAGTCTCGAAAGTACAACAAGAATCTGTTGTGCGACTTCTGCTGTGCTGCACATCTTATCAGTGAGAGAAAACACACTCCAGATGCCATCTCTTCCACGTCCATATTCAGAATTTAAAAGAAAAACGCCCCACCTTAACACACATGCTCACACACACACACACATGTTAAGACTCCATACAGATAAAGACACCGGACTGCCTGCCCTTATCCTTCACACTCATTCAGACACTCTTACATAACGACTTCCAAATTCACTGCCCGATCCTCATGGACATTCTGCATGCTGCCCACAAACTTACTCAGATCCTTTTCTCGCGTACAGACAAGCAAGCACATGTGAACTCATACTTGAAGACATTCACACATCCATGCACAAATATAGCCACGCAGGGGAAACCTACCCAGGGACAATCTTCATCTGTGCCAGCTCTCCATCTTGCCTGCTTTCACGTCCTCCGTCTCTCGCACTCTGTGAAGCATGTAGACCAGCTTTGAGTCAATATATCCCTCCGTACTCCCTCTCTCTCCTCTCTCTCTGCTCTTTCCCTCCCTGTCTCTGTTCATCATTCGCTCTCCTCTTCTTATTTCCTATGTCCCTCCCTCTTTCCCCTCTCCCTGTGGTTGTGACGTATCCTGCTAAAATCCCCATCAGTCCTTTTGAGGCCGTTCATATAGTAGTGTCACTCACTCCCTCAGCAGTAAAGACATTTGAAAGAATCTGGGGGGTTAAAAGGGGGCTGTGGTGGGATAAGGCGGTGCACGCAGAGAGCAAGAAAATTTGACAACAGAGAGAGAAACAGCGTAAGAAAGGGGAAAGATGAGAAGACAGACCAACATTATGCGGACACACAGACAAATGCAGAGCGACACCAGCGCGGACAAACACACAACTGCGGAGACCAGCGTGCAATGTGTGAGGAGGGGAGTACATGTGAAAACACTGAAAGCGCACATGAGGAAATACTGTACCGCTGTAGGGTGGGAAAAAAGAAGCAAAAACACAGACTGAAGGGCAGAGAGGGGGAATTGAATTAATCATGTTGACACAGTCAAACGAAACACACTGTCAGCTATGAAATCACACTGCTGGGCAACTCTGGGCTTCTTATTACTGATATCGGACAGGCGTATTTGTGTTGTTACTGGGTTTCTTGCGCTTGTGTTTGCATGTGTGCCTCCATCTGACGCTGCCTTCGTAGCAGCAACCACCACCTGCCACATGGAAGGCATGTATGAAATACAGCAATAGGTCAGTATCAGAGGACTTGTGTAGGATGGGTGTTGGGGTAGCCTGCTGTTCTGTTCAGGGTTTCAAGACACACAAAAACAAACTAAGCGATGGATTTCCTTACTTTTGAAACGCCCGTTAAATGAAAGGCTGCTTTAATCCAACAGATTTTGAGAAAATCAATAGATTTTGTGATTCGAATCGAAATCCCTTTTACACGCTTTGTAATTCCTCAAACGGTCGATTTGGCTTTCTGTGTTTTTTCTGATTAGCTGTGCAACCATTCATTTGTAACACGTCTGCCAAGAAATATTCATGTGAAAGAATTTAAGGCTATGTGAATAGAACTGGTCACATTTTCACTGATGCCTTTTGTGTAAAAACAGATATTTTGAAATGTTGATTTCATACAGCAGTAGAATCTGTAAATAAAGCTTATAAAGATACAGCGTAAGAGATGAGAGAAAGTTAAAGTACTTTACATTGTTAAGGGAAACTGGAAAAAGCCGGAAATAGCATTAAGAAATAACCTAGTATGGCAAGTGCATATTATGCCATAAATATGTATTTCCATATCTTAATACAGCCTGAAGATAATCTTGCCCACAGTATGCAGAGAAAAATTAATGATTTTGCTAAATATAAAACATCCATAGAGACCACGTCAAATGTTTTTACATTTTAGATTTTTTTACAGAGCACGCTGTGCTGTAATCAGAGGGCCAAACAACAGTGTGGACACTGTCATCTTAGAGCTTTAAATTGCAATGTGATTAACTACAGCAATCATCACTCAAAGGAACAACCGGGCTGCAGACAACAACGCTTTTGGGGAATTCATGCTCATCCATTTGCAAAAACATACATTCATTTTAGCTTCTCTTCCTCATTGCTGCTGTATTACCCCATCAACACTGTGACAACAGGCCATTATGTTTGTTAATTTGCACAGACAATACTTGGGCTAAATGCTTCGAAAAGAGATGAATGCTCAGTCTGCCATTGCCAAACGCTAACTATAAATTAACGCTTTAGATAAAGGGCACATGTTTGAAGTGGCTTGAGACCAATGCAGCGATGCTCCTGAAGGACACCTTTGCCTGATACCTGGTCACCTTATTCAGAATATGAGAGTTCCCTCAGGTACTGGTGGAACAGAACTGCCTATCTCTTTAAGTCAAATTACATCACACTCATGTGCTCAGAGGAGTCTGGCAGCAATTATCAGACAGCTACAGACAGCCGACCTGCTTACTTCCAAAATGGCTAGGTGCTCTCCATGTGACCCAACACTCCGGAGAGACACTGCACTCTGCCAAGACGGCTCCTACACTGTGTTTAGGTCATGGAGGATTTCTACTAAATTACAGACTTGTGTATTTTTACAGGAACAATGAAACAAAACATTGAGAAAAGGAACTTTGGGACATACTTTTATGAGAGAATATTTTTTTTCCACATGTCAGCTCTTACTGTCAAGTTACACCTTGGATATCTTTGTCCAAACAATAGCCCCAAATATGAAGTGACATGAGGGTCAAATGGGTCATTTGGAACGAACTGTGGGTTTCAGCCTGTTTTAACAGAGTTATAAGTTGTATCTCAAATAGGTGTCTGACAGATGCGAGAAAATCACGCTCGTTTCCATTTTTGAATAAGTGTTCGTTTGACAAAACCCATATATACCTTAAAAAAATCCATTCGATCTCATGCTTTCACTTGATAATCTTTCATTATGCCATTCTTCACCCAATGGATTTCCTCTTTGATTTGTCAAATCCTTTCAACAGGTGAAGACATTGCACAAAAAAA